CGCATATTTATAACGACCTACTGTGGTTCGCCGACATTCGGCCCAATGCCCTTCGGAAAGAACATTCCAGACGAGCTGATCGATAATTCGAATACGCGGATTGATCAGGCCCGAAGGGAAACGCCAATTGTTAGGCGCCACGATAAAGACGAAAGCGCTGCAGAGAAAACGCACGTGGCCTCTAGTGATTGGTTGACTCTTGTTTTTGGGAGTGTAGGAGTTCACCCAGTACTTAGACGCGAAGGGAAAATTAGCGTAGTCTACTAGCTTAATCGTCACAACCGTCCTCCTCCTCTGCTACACTTTTTCCTCTGTCAGCTTTTTCGCGGGGCAGGTTCTTTTCCCACCCACGTGCTCTTTTTTGCAACCAGAGGCTGTTAAAAAGTCTAAACATTTACCAACCATTTTTCTCTGATACAAACGTTGTCCCCCCAATATGACTACTATGGCAGTCGTCAGCACTTTGTAAGAGCAACGTAGAAAACGGTTAATTGGACTGGAAGGGAGACTTCATTTTACCGAAACGGAGTGGTGCTAAAATCAGAAAATGACTGGAACGTCAAGAGGGGTAGGTTCAGAGGCAAAGTAGCTTTTACGGATTTTCTTAAAATCTAATACAAGACTGCAATGTTAGTACTAATTTATGCTGAACGGGATGTGTGAAACCGCCTCCTCAGGAGTGCGCAAACATCACACACATACCCACACCCAGACGCGTGTCTAACAGTTATTTTTTACACATGCGCAGAGGTTCTTTGCGGTGGGGGAAAGTCAGTACGTGAACGGCCCGAATTAGATGTTCGAATAAAGCATCCTGGGGGATTCCACTTAGCAACTCAAAAAATGCCAAACGGACACTCTCCTGGAGGGAACTGTGCATGTGCATTTGAATACGTACATAGAAAAAAAACCACAAGGATGCACTTCCACTTCGTAAATGACAAATTCCTCAAATTTTTCTCTCGTAAGCGTTTTGAAATCAGCCTCGGTTTTCAAATTTTGAGCAGGGTTGAGTCTCCCTTCTTCACCAAATTAACCAGTTGAATCTCCTCTTCTTCCTTATCGGACCAATTCGCGCGTCACAACAGGGAAAGTCTGTTCAGCTGGCCAATGTGATAGCATCTTCACGAGGAGAGGTCTTTGTAAAGTAATAAATTACTTTATTAGTGTCAACAAGGTATTAAAACGTTGAGCCTAATCGTCCGGATAAAGCAAAACCGAAGAAACGCCGTTTTCCTTAATGCAGTGCCGGTAACATAGAAGACGGCACGAAATCGGCCTTACCCTATCAAGTTTAAATGAACCTGAGGGCATAATCGATTATTTGTTAGAAGTGAAACTCGTTCTGACCAGATGGTTGAATGGTTGATAAACGGAATTCCCCCACATGACATTTCGACTGTCTGGATCAACGACGGTGGCTTGTATTTAAATTATTCTATACTCAGGCAGGCTTGTACAGCAACTACCACAATCCCTCCACCGTAGGATGAGTCTTAATTGTACATTTGTTGGCCTATTTTACCCACTCTATGCTGGTTTTTATCCTGTTCATTCGACTGAACTACAATTATGAGATCATGTGTACATTGTCCAGCGACGTTTCTAGGGAAATGAAAGCTAGCCTATATTTTGCAGCGAAGTCAATGATGATTGTCAGTGATGTCGAGAGTTGTAGTTTTTGGCTAACCTGTCGCTTTCGTAATCTTCTGAAAATATCTATTGTGAGTATCCATTCTCATCCATGGTTAATGGGGGTCGTTTTGCTAAAAGGCTTGAGGGGATACTTTCAGACTAAAGTGTATCTCTCTCTCGGCCCGACCTTATGCCAAGGAAGACGTTGATTCTAACCATTGAGATACCCTGGCCCCATTTAAGCGCTACTTGGCCGTACCCAAATCCCTCCACGTCACGTTACAGCGGCTAAACATAAGCCTTACTCGCTGGCAGGGTAGTGTGCCCGAGTTACTACAAGCTCCGAAAACCAATGAGTACAACACGTTTTACGTAAGCAGGGTTATTTTTACAACTGCGATATGCGTTGACAACTGGAGAGATAAACAGCCACAAGCCAGCATTCCGTCGTGCAGTAAGTAGCCTGGGTTTTGTGCCCGTTTATTGCTGTTTGTAGACTGACTTATGTGAGTTTTGTCCGCTTTATCGTATAATCCGAATTTCACTTACTACTTAATTAGTCACGGCGCATGCTGCAGTCAGTTGCCAAATACTGATGGTGTAGATCACGACTGTTAAAGCACTGTCCAAGTAGGGTAAACAGTTTTATTTTAAACGCTGAAACTTTCTGCAGCCCAAAAATACAGTGTCTCAGTCACCGGCTACACAGGCGAAGCGATTCGCCCGCCTCCAGTTCAGTCAAAAATTCCACTCCGCGTTCTGTCTTATCACTTTACTTGTAAAAGTACAAAGCTTGTCCTTTCTGCTCAGCGGGTAAAAGGGCGAACAAGTGTGTCGGTCAATTATCAGTCGACATCATGAGATTATACGAGCATAGGCAGAAATAACCAGCAATGGATGCCCGCTTTTTCTGTGTTTATAAGGTCAAGAGAAGGACGTGTTGCCCAGTGATCTAGGGCATCCCCTAGAAACTGCTTATTTCCCCACTTCGGTTTATTTGTCCTACTGGTAAAAGTTCACAGAATTGTTCTGAAGCGAGAAACAGCGCCGCTGAAGGGGAGATGGAGTCTTAAATAGACATTTCCGACCTACTTGCTGTCGTTATCCGGCCATAATTCAACCCCTTCCCGCATTCCGGAGAAAATCTGCGATGTGCATTAGGGTTCGGCAAGTCGTCTGAGTCGGATTCTCCCTCTCGCTAACCTCTGTCGGTGATATATTGCATCTCCTTGTGACTACTCTGATCAGACCGAGCGCATGCTTCCAAGTGGTTGCCCGTAGCCTTCGAAACGGCTCACGAATCCAACATCGCAGTCGAGAATGTAATTGTTCCCTGCCGGCCGCAAGATGAGCCGAAAATTAACGGAAGTCTGGGCCTCCGATGGAAATCCAACCAATCGATGTATAGATCTGGTTGGCGCGTGCAGAGTCCGGCGCAGCCATCCTCAGACATTCAGTAACGGTCGTTGATCTTCTAGTGACCCATAAAAATGCCACCTGCCTCGTTGCTACCACCATCCCTGATGATGGTCTCCTGTAACAGTTTAAACCTTCAGAAGAGTAAACAAGTGGTGACGGTACACGCTCAGCCCTCATCCTTGTTTATTGATTACTGTTCTTTAAGAAACCGCCTACGCAGCTCCTGATGGAACTGGAAGGCAACAAAAAAATGCCGCATTTCAACCCTCATCAAGCTGTATAGATGAGCGTCATTCGTCGACACCCTCCTCAATTTACTGCAGGATACTTTATGCATCGATTGCGCAGTTGTTCAGCGCTTTCCTTTTGGACTGAGGTGTGATCACTAGACCATGATTCAGACCTTGTTCAGTGGACTTGACGGTGGTCGTTGAGGGGCCAAAGAGAAGAGCTGACATGAGAGTTTCCAATGATCGACGGCATGAAGATTTCCAAATCAAAAGTCAGGAAAGACGGATAATGCTGGGTAAGATTCACTGATGTGAAAGAACCCACAGGAAGCCCAGTAAGCCGTTTCCGCAGGTTGTTTCTCCGAACGTTTTGTGTGTCACTGCCCGCCGTTGAGGTTCTTAGCCCCCAGCGCGTGTGTGAGCGTTTCAGTCCTTCCCAGTTGGCTTTCGCCAATTTATTAGAGAAGGGGCAGCGTTCATTGTCATTGAGATCTCCTGACGCTAGTGCTGAGCATCGCGCGGTTCCAACAGCGAATCAACAGAGGATGTGGGGCGGGCAGAAGGGCAGCGTGACAAAGTGACGGCGATCTGGAGAGCAGATCGCCCCATAATTTCTCCTTCACATCTATTCTCCGCCCTTCTCTGCTTCTTGTCCCTCTACTCTTCCCTCATACCCCCTCCTTCCCCCTTTACAAAGTCCAACGACGAGAGCGTCGGCGATTACGTAGGTGACCCAGGCTTACTCGGGTCCTTTCTTCACTAAAGAAAGTCGTGGCACATAGTGGAGTTCGGCACCCGTCTGGGATGTCTGAGGAGCCCTATTTAGGG